GAGGAAAGAGACAGTGGAGAGAGTCTACGATGGCAGCAGCGTGCATGAAAGCTTTGCGAGTAAAAGCAGCTGTGTGACAGCTGACATAAACCCAAAGATTGGATCAGGTAAATAAAACTCAATAGCCGGTACATACCGACCAGTTAAAAAATGCTTTACTTGCAAATTGTTGTCCCTAGAATAAGGTGATTTCCCAAAATGTCAAACTATTCATCCCATCAAACACATAGTAGTCTAAATCTGACATGCAGTTTAGGTCCTCTCTTTTACCTTGCAGTTTGCCATATGCCACCAAAGAGCCACTAAAAGTGATTCCACCAATGTAGGTGCCGAGGTATGCGACTATCTTGGTGAGGTTGGCCGCAGGGTCTGTGGCGAAGTGGGGGTACTCGACCATGTATTCGGCAACACAGGTGAGCACGGCTGCCAGCCCCACCAAGCTGTGGAAGGCAGCCACCAGCTGGGGCAAGTCTGTGATCTGGATCCTCTTAGCAATGGTCAGGCCTAAAGACAGAGAGACAGAGAGAGACAGAAAGAGAGAAAGAGAAAAAGAGAGAGAGAGTGAGAGAGAGAGAGATAGAGAGATAGCAAATAAATAAAGTGGAGTGCCCCCCAAAGACCCACACACAAAGAACATGCAAATCACAAGCACGTGCACACAGACTCAGGAGGACTGCTGGGAAGTGGTTCCGTCTGAGGAACCAGGTGCTGCTGATGAGGCCTGTTTGGGGAAATTCCATGTTTGTGAGTGGGTCTACACCCCTTTGTGTGAGTGTGAGTCCTGCAGGAGGCCTTGCAACGTTACTGTATCTGGAAAATAGCATTATTGTCTGTGTGGACAGTTTAGTCTAGGTTTCATCTATGTTACTGGAACAATTAGCATTTAGATGATTAAACTGTCCTGAGCGGGCAAGAGAAAGTGAGTAATACATGATGCTGACCATTTTGACAGACCTCCTGGGTCTTGAGTTAGTCATGTTGTGTTTGATGAAAACATCACAGAGCCTATGCGCTCTGCACACCTGCTTCTTGATCTGGCCAAGCTTGGAATACACGCACACGCACACACACACACACACACACACGATGCAAAACCCATGTCCATTAATTTACATCTGCTGCAACACAATTTGGCAAGTTTGCCTGTGAGTCTGCCTTCTCCATATAATGACATTAATACACACAGACTCACCAGCAGTGCCACCTACAGCCATGGCTGCGCTCATCTGTGCCAGGAGCTCAGGACTCGGTTTGAGGGCACCCAGAGTGGCAACGATACCCCCCGCAACTCCCATCATACCCAAAGCGTTACCCAGGCGGGCTGTTTTCTGGTTGGAAAGGCCAGCCAGGGCACCAACACAGCACAGACCTGAGCCCAAGTACATCATCTGGTGAGAAAGAAGGCATTATACAGAGGATTTAGGGACCACAGGATGAGAAATAAGGCCATGTGATTTTCTTGGAAGGTTGTGTACAACATCTGGGAAAACAAAGAATACATTTGGAGGATGATTAGTTGACTTTTATATAATCATAGGCTGTTTTGCACCAATTCCAAGGGACTAATGAAGTTTTTGTAGGAGACCACAAATATAATCTTGAACTGAACATGCAGACACAGCAAACATCCTCTCACACCTGTTCAATGTTGTATCCAGACTGCAGAGCGGCAGCGTAGCCTCCGACAAAGACACCACCAGGAAGCAGATAAAGGTAGTTGTACTCCGGAGGATCAGTGGGACGCTTGAACATGTCCAACATCTTCTTAGTTACCAGGAAACCACCTGGGTGAGAGACAGAGAGAGAAAATTAATGCACCTGTACTTTCAGTGGCACACAAATCAGGTTTAAAAGCTACTTTACAGAACAAAAGTAGGAGTAATATACAAAGAAAATAAAAAATGCAGGGGAGTTGAAGCACCTGAAGTACATGAAAAATATCTATTTTTAGTCAACAGGTGTTTTAACGCCAATAGCTAAGAAAGGTTGCCAAGCCCAATAACCAATGGTAGGAATTTAATGAGTCTACTTCATGTCAGTGTGAATATTTCAAGTAGGAAACCTCAAAAGCGTCAAACCGGGACCAGACGGTGTCTCACTGCTTTACAGGAGGAGATCGCATTACTGTGTGTATGTCTCCCTTTTTTCCCTCTGGCATGACTGTAGCCACGTGCACACGCATGCAACCATACATACAAAAGGTGAATCAGAGGGTAGCACCTGTTTCTTTCTAGTTCATGTAATTTTAGTCGTTGACTGTCCTGTTAAAACATGTAATAATAATAATAATAATCTGACTACTATTATTGCAGACCAATCTGAGTCAATATATTAACATGGAGGAATGTTCGCATATTGAAACAACACAAAGCCAGTATCCAATCATTTCTTTTGGTTATTTTTTTTCGTACCCAGAATGGGTTTGTTGATGCTACATTTAGAAAGCTTGTAAGAATAGAGGAAAATCAGCATCACTGGGAAAAGTCCAAAACAGCACAGTCATGCTAGCAACTCTGTGAGGCTGTACTGTACACAGTAGCTAAATGCTAACATGCTGATGTAAAGCAAGTACCGTATTTAAGACATTGCAAAATTGCAATATGACTAAGTGCAATATCCAAATCGCAAAAGCTGCTATTTATTACTAAATATAAAATATGTAACAAAACGGCATCATAATGAAGTCCTGAAGTGCTGCAGAGATGACTGGGCCTACAAATCTTGTTCTCCAAATGTTAGAAAACATCTTGTGAACAAAACTCCCCATGCACTGCCAACAACATTCAGGTGCTGGTAGGTTGCAGGACCATATAGTAAAAAAATCTGAATTAACCACCGCACACTGGAATAACTTTCCTGCTGCACGCTCTTTAATAAATCACAGTAAAGTCATTCCATTGTGCGGTGGTTAATTCTGTTAGAAAACATGTTTGTTTGGTACAGACCCCAACAATTTCAGTGGAAATTAAAATTGTGATACAAAGATAATCACCACACTAATCACCTAATAATCATGAATCATAGAGCAATCGTAATATTTGCCAAAATAATCGCAATGTGATTTGATTTAAATGTGAATGTTTTCTTTTAAGCCACCTACAATTAGAGCTAGCTCAATGACTGAAACTAGTGACCTGGTGCAATAAGGAGAAAATATAGAATCTGATCAGACCTGGTGGCGCACATTGACATTTAGATTATGAGAAACTGAACATATTTAACTTAAGATATTCAACAATCCCAGGTGTTTTCCATGCATTCCCACGTCTTACAACTGTGGAGACATGGAGAAAATTAAAAAACTACAGCCAGGGACCTGCTCCTCAAAACAGACACACAAGCTAAAAATTTCAGGGTCTGTTTTACTGGAGCTACATTTCACTATTGTGTTTCGTCCCTTTTCCATGGAATGAATTTTTCTGTTCCCAGGGGTTCATGGGTAATGTGGTAAACCACTTAGAAATGTGCGTGTGGAACCGAACCCATGGTGAACATCAAAAATGAAATTAAACAACCGGTAAGAAACTAGGTATGTCTATAAAGGCTGTGGTATTTTAGCATGCTTTCGTTAAGGGTTAAGTTAAGGGAAACCTAAAAGACTAATCAGTGGTTTGAGCAGTAATGCCACAGAGCCTTGAGGGCCTCGGATTTGTGGCAGGATTCACAGCCTTGTCTTGAACTTCAAAAACCTTGTGGTGTCCTGCGACTCTCACACATAAAACTCAAAGAAGCTTTTGGTGCATTTTTAACAAACAGGCAGAACTGCTTCATAATGCAAGTTAACTATTCATCTGCTTGCGTTTGCTGGTGTCTAGCTGTGAGCTAATAGGAGAAATTACAACAAATTCATGGCTCAGCACTGGAGGAACACTCTGTTTCCCAGGACTATTAGAGAGTGATGAGTATTATAATGACTCCAGAAACACTTTGTCATTGTAATGGGAATTATTAAGGGTAATAGCAGAAATGAACGTGTGTGGTCCAGGCCAGAGCCACTGACTCTGGTCTGAGCAGGTGGGTAAGACAGGGCAGCTGCAAAACTTGGGTTTTGAAAGCATGTTATTGTACAATCAATATAAAACAGTTCAATCTTCAGCCTAAAGTTGATATTTTATTGGCTAAAGGTTGCTGTAACTGGCAGGGATCGCCGCGAGGTGTCTATGTGCAGGTGACTCACCAGCAATGTTGACCGAGGAGATGAAGGCAGCCAGCAGAGCCAGTGTCTCAGCAGTAGATGTTGGGGAGTAGCCACCTCCCATCAGGGACAGACCACCCACAGCAGTCAGACCTGCACAACAAGGATATTTTAGTATTCATGAGCCTCCACTTTCATAAGTCATTAGACAGGACATTCAAAACTTTGGTGAAGAGGTTACGAAAACAACACACAATGGACATCTATACACATGCTGTAGCTGTCTATTATATCTAGTCTATACTGTATCGGTCTAGTATATACTCTGTTTGCTTCCCAGATTGGAAAAAAGAGAGAAATTGGAAGATTTTAAGATAAAAAAAGAGAAGGAAAAAGAAAGAGAGGGAGTGTGTGTTTACCAAAACAGGCTTAGGAAACCTTGATAACATCAGCCCTGTAATGACTTACAGGCAGTGAGATGCAACACACGGCACCCTGGGAGCCTGCATTCACACGGAATTGTGTTTGTGTACAATTTAGGTTGACTAGCAGGTACAGAGCGTCTATGTGTGTGTTCAGTCAATAGTGTTGGACTGAATTTTCAAATGAGGAAAATGTGAAGTTTGACCTTTCTCAAACAAAGTCGGCTTCATAATCGTGTGCATAACAGCTCCTAAACAAAGAAAGTTTCAAAATGATGCCAAGCATCATTTCACAACTTCTACTACATAAATATGAGCTAATTCAAAGTTTCCACTGTTACAAAAGATAACAAGCTTTCCAAACATTTTTTGTTTGGTTTCTGGCACAAAAACACACCAGAAAGTGCGTCAGGATGCTACTAATCAGTTATTTTCTTAATAGGCTAATGAGGAACATGATTTGGCACAGATGTTAGCCAATGTCCATGAGGTAAACTCATATGTGCATTATCTACCAATACACTGCAAATCTTTATCTATATGCTTCCAAATGTTTCAGTAGCTGTGTTGCTATGCTTCTCACCATTTTGTCTTGTATTTAGTAACTGGTTAGTAAAAACCTTCTAAACAATTACCCCTCTGATTTCTATTTTGATTACATTTTTAAAGATTGCCTCCCCTATCCTGATATCTCATGTTCATGCCAATCAAATATTAGCTTGATCTTAATTACTTCACACTTTTTAAATTCATAGATGGGAATTACATAAAACAAAGGCTCCCTACATTTTTTTATCTGGACTGTCTTTCGTTAGCTGATTTCAATGCAACTAATGTCCGTGATGTCCACCTCCTAAAACACAGTTCTGGGCACTTGTACATTAGAACATTGATGTTCTTTTTGGCCATTGTGTGCAGTCAATGTACCTGAATACAATGAATAATCACTGAATACGGTGCTTGCTTAAGCAATAAATATCAAGCCTTTTAATGGACATGTTGAAGTCAGCCAAATAATGTTTTCTTAACACCTTTTCTTGCCAAATATGTAGATTAAGGTTATTAGGTAGGTCATGATACAGTCTCTTTGGCCCTGTTACCGATCAAAGTCTGATCCTATACTTAAATTTATCTAAATGTTGATTAAATATGCATCCAACACATTAAAATAACAGATGTAGCCTTCTAAAGCTGGCACTTTATTTTTCACAAGACACTTGACCCCAAAAAAACCCAAAAAGGTACAGTTACACCATTCGGTGGAGATCAAAGGCGAGCCTAGCCACCTCAACTAACAGATTAGCCAGAAAGAAAGCCAGTAGGCATCAGCGGACACACGCACACCCCAGCTATGACACATACACACATAATAATATATACCCTGGGTGGGCCATAGTCCTGTAGGTGAGTCTCTGTGACAAACATCAGCTACCAGGCTACAGGCAGAGTGTGACAGTGAATCAGTGCTCTCAAGTAGATTAAAGCATTTCTATCAGACACTAGATATAAAGCCACTGGATATGAGACCAGTGTCTGAAGAATTTAAGATGACCCACCAAGTCGGAGTCACTACTGGTTGTAACACTATAATCTCACGATGAAGAATATAACTGTCCCTCACTCAAACCCTAAATTCCAATATGATTTGCTAATGTCTGAGTGATTGTGTGTGTGTGTCTTTACGACGCCTGGCACAACAACAACAGAATTCTGTTGGTCTCACTGTTTCCATAACCGCAGTCAGTCAGTGACAGAAAAAAAATAAGGTAATAAAGGCCACACCAAATATGAAGGGAAAATACCTGGACAGGGAGGAAAGGGAGAGGGGGGACAGATGGAGGGCAGACAACATGGAGGGAAGAAAGAAAAACCTTTAAATGAACTTCAACACACATTTATTTCATATGCGGTCGCAAATTCTACTAATATTTAATGATGATCTTGTGAACTTTGTGCCTTTTAGACTGACCCAGTTATAAAATGAAAACACATTTACTTGAATCGGATTTATTGATGCAATTTGACAAACTTAATGTGACAGATTGGACGGAAAAAAACGTATAAGAGAGGGAAAATAAAAGAGCGCAGACCCAGAGGAACAAAAACCATGGTGTGAAGATGGGAATGTGAATTAAGGGTCTAGTTGTAAGTAATAAAGTTTTAAAAGGAGTAAAAACTGTCCATCTTAGTCGTAACACTGCTGGGCTCCGCAGTCGAGCTCTAATGTCTGGCTGTGTGCGCAAGTAAACGAGCAAAGGACTACCCTGACCCTCAAAGATCACCAACGGAGTGTTACTTCCTACCCCAGTGTGGGTCTGAAGAGTGATCAAAGCCGTGAGAACACACACATGCACTTACCTCTCTAACCTCTTAACCCCTCTGTGTTAAGCGGCAGCCGACAATAAGGACACAATCTTTAAAGTTTTTATTTGGATGCAGACGGCAGATACCTGCTGGACTGACGTGAAATGTTTGATCCTCTGGCTAGGACTTTATTTCATGCTTTGTTTTACATAGTAATGCAAATAATATTTTCAACTATAAATTAATGGTGTTTTGTTACCATATTTGTTCTGCGTGTTTCTACTCACATACAAATCTCTTCCATTATGTGCAGATTATCAAATAGAATACTCTATGGGTTAGAGTCTATGCGAAAAAAGGATGCTCATACTGTAATTAATCCAGATGAATAAATCAAAATTAACCAAGCACAAGAAAAGCAAATCCAAGTACTGACATTTTATCTTGATATAGATTATATTGATCTGCCATACCTTGTGGCTGTGGTGATTGAGTACTGGACTGCATTATACTAAAAGGTGTTTGCTCATAACGCTTTTTATTCAGAGGGCTCAGAATCAAACTCATTCAGAGGACATATCCATTTATATGTACTGAACACAACTAACCTGAGATGGCGTTGGTGACGGACATGAGTGGAGAGTGCAGGGCAGGAGTGACTCCCCACACTGTGTGGTATCCCACGATGCCAGCCAGACCAAAGGTGGTGACGATCTGAGTGAAGGCGGCATTCGGAGCGCACAGACCCAGACCCACCAGTGTGGCAGCACCTGGCACAGAGAGGGACAAAGTTCAAGAAATGAAAAGAGAGCTACGGTAACAACAACAGGACAGTATTTTAAGTGTGTAGGATTTAGTGGCATGTAGCGGTGTAGTATCTAGAGCCAGTGTTTAGTTTGTCCATTCTGGGCTACTGTAAAACATTGGTGGTTCAACATGGTGGACTCTATGTTAGGCGACCTGCAGTGTCGGTAGATATAAAAGGCTCATTTCTAAGGTAAAAAAAACACAACGATTCCTATATTCAGTGATTATCACTAATGAAACATACTATTAATATTATATTCCATTTCTGCCAAATCCTCCTAAATGTTACAAACTGGCTTATGACCCCATATCACAAAGGCAACATTTTTTTAGAAGGTTGAATATATACATGAATTCCAAGACATAAAACTATCAATATTTCACTGACAAGAGAAAAGTCAGATTAAAAAAAGCTTAGTTTTGTTTAGCAGAAATGTTTTTTTCCCCGTTTCATATCCTGTCACAATCTTTCAATGTTTAAATAGTGTTAATGATATTTAGATATAGTAGATTTCCTCAACTTGAAGCTCATTTGGTTGACCGTAAGATGTGGGAGAAACTTGACCACCCATGTAGTCCTTATTTCCTGATACTTCCACACACATATAGTTATCAGTCAGAGAGCTATTTGTCTGGTTACAATTGCGAGACTGGCGGCATGTCATAAACTTTTTTTACATTTACACTTTTGCTACATTACATGCCACGCTAATAAGCAAGCAACCAGCATGAAGCAACTTCTCACTCGAGCAGCTAACATCGGCAGCTGTGTGCTGGTGTTAAGTAGGAAACTACTGGAACACCTGAACAATGTGTGAACCACATTAACTGCATGAGGTGCACTTATACAGAGCGCTGTGTGGCACCATGGGAACCACTCACTACGGCACTACTTCAAACACACACCCAGTGTGACACTGTTTTTACAATGCACACTTCCTGACACTAACAGGGTGTCTGTGTGTGTGTCACTTCTCGCCTCCTGCACACATTCCAGCTGTGACCTGAAAAGCTGATTATTAACCTGTCCTTCACCTTTTGGCAGACCTCACCCCCCCTTAAGACTCGATGCGGACCATTAACTTCGTTAAACCATGTAAATGAGAACATTTCTCAGCTATAGCATCTTCCTGATTTCTCTACTTAGACAGAAAATCTAAAATTTAAAAAGATAATCTGCATAATGCACATTCAGTTTCAACCACAGCAGCTAACCTCCGGTGTACACGCCAGCAGTGGTGAGTGTAGCCTTGAAGGGGGAGACTTGTGAAGCCTTCTGCTTCTCCAGTTCCTGGATGGACTTAGGTTTAGGAGGAGCTGCAACAGGCACGTTGTTGGGCTGAGGAGCAGGGAACAGGTTCTTTCCATTCTGAAAGGGGAAAGAGAACGGTATGATGTAAAAGGGAGAAATAAAACAGAAGGATTAATCAATCTTTCCTTATTATCATATTAACTGTTACCTTTTGGTTACCTACACCTTATAGAGAAGAGAGAAACGATTGCAAAAAGTGGTGGAAATGAGGGTGAGTGTCAGTTATAGCAAGAATACCATGTGAAACTTATTAAGCGCTGGTTTGATCTCTGCTTTTATTCCCTGATCTCCTTGCCTGATGGTGTACAATGACCTCTTGTTGCGTTAATGAATATGTGAAACATTAGACCACACTGTCAAGATCAAAGTAAGCAAACTAATGATCAGTAGGTACAGTAAGTAAGTGCTTTTCTGCATCATTTATAAGATGAGAGAGCATTATTGTGATCGGTACAGGTCAAATTACAATGAAATGATAATGAAATGATGATTACAGCAAAGATAATCTCCCCAAATATAATAATGATCAATGACTAAAGACTGATATAACGATATGGTTCCACCTTACTGAACAAACATGGATATAGAAGAAATAAACATTACCGCACTGCACACAATATATCAACTGGTATTCTTTTCGTATTTTTTTTTTTTACCCCCAAACATTTTGAGAAGAATGCCTTCAGATCTATACTGAGCAGGACATTTTCCAGTTGAAACATGAACTTTTACATTTAAATTCCTGCACAAACTAAGAACATTTTATGAAATCTGCTCAATATGTGAATAAATCCAAGCATGTATCTAACAAATACGAGCTCCAGATGATTAATTTGTTCACACACTATTCATTATAATTTAAGTTTACTCTAACAAATACTTGTTGAGAGAATTTATTGTTTTTTGGAAACAACTTTTTACAAACTTCAAGTCCTTAAACAAAAATTCAAGCACCATGAAAAGTGATAATAGAAATATGTAAATGGTATTAAGTGCTAGAACAGTACTGAAGAATAAAATGTACCAGTCACACTAGTTTACTGCTAAATGCCATGTGTTGCAATATAAGAACAAGATCTGCAAATGATCAAGAACTATAATAATTAATAATTACACTAATAAACCTGAATGAAGGAGTCAGCTCATAATATTTAAAAAACACAATGACATTTTATATTGTAGTTACTGAAGGTATCTTTGCTCCATCTTCTTTATGCTGTTGGCTTGGGCTGTATCTGTATTATTTTTCACAGTTAATACTCAAACATGGATGAATGGATGAATGAGGTTTTAGGTTTATTGAGGGGACATTAGTCATTGGCAGCTCTAAAGAGGCTCTAAAAAGACAGAGAGAAGAAAAGATAAGTTTATTCTTAGGGTGACATCTAGTGACCGTGATAGGAACCTGCAGGGCAATTTGAATGATTTTCTGCATTCACCTTCAGCCAAACACACACATGCACGCTTGTCCGGCTGCTGGCCACATGAGACCTCTCACCTGCATGACAACAGATCCTCTAACAACGTGGTCCATGGTCCCGTAGTCAAATGCTTCCTTGACATCCAGGTAAAAGTTTTCCTTGTCGGGGCTGATGGCCCGCATCAACTTAGTGATGTTATTGGAGTACAGAGTGCTGGACTGTGTCGGCAAACGGCTGGGCAGGTCTGTGTAGCCGATATGGGTGACTCCCTAAAAAATTTTAAATTAAAAACACAGAAGTTTTGTGATATTACACTAAATTGGAGGGGAAAAGCAGTGACTTTTTTGTATGGATGCGTATGTGTACTGACCTTGTGCACTGACAGCTCTCCAGGTACTGTGGTCTCAATGTTTCCTCCAGCCTCGGCAGCCAAGTCAACCACCACTGACCCATCTTTCATGCTCTCTACCATTGGTTTGGTGATGAGGATGGGTGCCCGCCTTCCTACGATGTGACCATGGAAACGCAGACATTAATTACACATATTCACTGCGGATACATGGCCATACAATGTACAAAAACTACTGAACCCAACAGAGTAATGGAACAAATGTGAAGCTGATGTAAAATATGTTCTGGTTATTTTTAATGTACAATATTCCATGACGTGTCCTAAATTCTCTGACTACCTGCCCAGAATAAATGTCTCACGTTCTGTGATATTCCAGATATTCAATGCCCAAAGGGAAACTGCTCACGTCCTTTCTTTCAAAGAAAGTGTCCTTCACTTTGTACATACATTAGTGTTTACATTGTGCTCGAGTCTGTGCTGCTGTGCATACCAGGGATAAGAGCAGTGCTGATGATAATGTCCACCTCCTGACACTGTTTGGCAAACAGCTTCATCTCTTCCTCTATGAACTCCTTTGACATTTCCTTGGCGTAGCCTCCCTGGCCCTCTCCTGATTCCTTTAAGTTCACCTCCAGCGGCTCTGCGCCCAGAGATTTAAACTGCTCCAAAGCTGCAGCTCTGGAAGGGGTCGGAAAGGTGATTTGTTAGTCAGGCACAAGGAAAATATCTCTGAAAGAATACAAGAACACTACATGTGATGTGTGTTTGAGTATGAAGTAATGGTACTATTGTGGATAAGTATTGCAAGTACTGGCCCATTTCAGGCACCGGTCTTACAGTTGTTATATTGTTTGCTCTTGAAAAGCGCATACAGAAAAAAAAAAAAAAACTGTACTGTATAGAAACAAGTTGCAATACATACATTCAGAAATCAACGCTATATAAAGTAGTATTCATTGTTAGTGGTGGAGTCCACCACACGTACAAGGGATTCTCAGGAAACGAGGCTTGCAAGTAACCCAGCATAATTATATCTAATTCATAACAGTCTGCATGCTTTCTTTTCACTCTCCTTACCCCATATTAAGTTCCTGCTAATGCAAAGTGAACATTTCCTTCTGCTGCTGCTTCACATTAAAAGTTTTCAACTAGTGAAACAAAGATGGCTTTTATTGTGAAGAAGCCACAAGCGGCACAAATTACTGTGGTTTGTGACCACGATAGTTCATCAAAACATTTTGGGCATTTTTTTGACAGTAGATAAGTTCTAAATTTTACAGAGACTAAATGGAACAAGAGGGTGCAGCCAGAATGAGCTGCCAGATGCAGATTTGCAGCCAACAGGATGCACATCTCAAACTCCTCAGCAAGGGAACCAAATTTACTGTGCCCTGCTGTTATGTGGAAAACTACTCATGCCGTGCGCAGCATGAACTCCAACTTGGTTGCTCATGGCATGATGGAAAAAGGCTGATTATTGACAGACTTCTTTATTAAAACAAGGGAAGTCTGTTTGGCTAAGAGATACACCACTTGCTCTTCTATTGTATTTCTGACAAAGTAACTGATCAAGGAGAGTTTGTTGCCCCCAGGAATGATAAACTGGAGATAATAATTCTAACTGGGTCTTTATACTGCAGCAGTGAACCTAAAAGCAAATGTTTATTGTTATGTTCATAGCAATCAAATAATGAGAAAATGATTCAAATACTGTACTGTTTCCATCTCATTGTCCCAAAACACTTTTTCATGATTGTCAAGATCAGTTTCTAACCAGGCTTTTAACTGAGAGGGTTTTTTATGAGCAAAAAATAGATGCACATGTACAGCAAATCTAATTCTGCACTTCTGCTCGAATTCAATCTTTTAAAGCCAATATTCCTTTCATACTTTTAAATTCATACATATAATATCAAAAACAAACCTGGTATCAAATCCCCTGACAATGGCTCCCATGGCCCTGGCAGTACCAGCTGCTGCCAACCCAGCCACACCACCTCCAATAATCAGAACCTAGTACACACAAAACAGTTTGGGATGGCCAATGCAGTTATCCAGCGTGTTGTAATAGACACACTCACACTTAAAGGATCAGTGTGTAAGATGTAGTGGCATCTGAACTGAACACCACTTGAGTCTGTATTTGACGACCCGGGAATGACAACAGGCTGTCAAGTGTGTAGGAGAAACTACAGTGGCTGTGAAAAACGCAAAAGACCCTATCTACAGTCAGTGTCTGATTTGTCTGGGCTACTGTGGCAATATGACGGACTCCATGGAAGGCGATCCGTGGCGTCAACAATTGCCATATTAAGGTTATTTTACATAATGGAAACATACCTATGACTATTATATCCCACTTCTGCCAAAAGATCCTCCTAAATGTTACACACTGAACCTTTAAGATACTTTACAAATAAAAGAAATGCTACATAACAGAAACACATAAATACATACTACACACCTTTGCAGGTGGCACTTTACCAGCTGCTGTGATTTGTCCAGTGAAAAAGCGACCAAAGTTGTTAGCTGCCAGCACAACTGACTTGTACCTGAAATGACAGAGGACATGATAAAGGACATGATAAGGAAAGTGTCCATCTCCAAACAAGGCAAATCACACCCCCTACTTTGAAGGCAGTGTGTACATACCCTGCGATGTTTGCCATGGAGCTCAGTGCATCATAACCCTGTGCGATGGTGACTCGGGGCACCTGGTCCATAGCCACGACGGTGGCCTTCTTCTGGGACAGCAAGTCCATCAGCTCGGGATTCTGAGCCGGATAGACGAAGCTGACTAAAGTGGCCGCGTCCTTCATCATTTCCACCTCGTGGACGCCGAGAGTGGGGTTAAACACGGGAGCGCGGACCTGGAGGCACAGAAATTGGTTAAAAAACATAAAGACGGGGGAACAAGAAAGGGAAAGATAAATACTCAACTAAAAGCTGCACATGTAAAGGTCATTTTGTTCTTCCTGCTTTCAATTTTCCTTACTTATCATTCCTCTCTGTTTCTCTACCTTGACCAACATGTTTTAAATGGAGACATACTTGACAGTTAATTGTCGTTTTGGCATGGGAACACTGGTTCTTCCCCACATGTTCAAAGTTGTTCTCTGTCTTCCTCAGACGGCAAAAGCTGCTGCCATCTTCAAAACACTGACTGGCCCACCCTGTACGTTCCTTCCATTATTCCTCATTACCTCTTCTTATACCTTAACATGCCTTTCAGAATAGAACACATCTGGTGTTTTCAACAGCTTGCAAGGTTGTCTCAATCATCCAACCACCTTATTTACGTCTCTGCCTCCCTTTCTCTGGCCTTGGTGAACTATAAAACAATCCACCTCTCATTCCTCCCTCCATTCCCCACTTAAATTGTACCTTAACCAACACATCAGATGCCAAGACATCTTTAATGTCTTTAATTGTTGCTCCAGCCTGGGCATACTGTTCATCTGGGAACTTGGAAGGCTCTCCAGCTCCCGACTCCACGATGACATTGAAGCCCTGCTTGATGAGCGCCTGGACGCCAGCGGGAGAAATTGCCACACGACGTTCATTCTGGAAGATTTCTTTGGGTACACCGACTGTGAGTTGTTTGTATGGAATACCTGCAGAGGCAAAGAGAAATGATAGAGCAGCAGATGTGAGATAAGCAACAGCTTATATTAAATAATGCAGTTTTATGCTTAAATAATGACAAACTAATTCATGCAAGGCAAATGAACAGTTGTTTCCAGCCTTGTTTAATTTGTTTTTAAAACAGCCTATAAAACCAAAGCATTGTTGACACAGTCTGGTTGTTCCAAAGGGTTTTTCAAAAAGTATTTTACAAGGTTTCATAGCATGTTTTAACAAAAGGAGTAAATACCAGAGATATGAGAGAAATGCACAGTGTGTATATGGGTTTGTGCATGTGTGCATCTTGACCTTGTCCAAAACAATAGAAAGATACACAAACAATACACACGATACTTTACAGCTATTATGTTTATTCAATGGATCATTGCAACTATTGCAGCTTTTCTCTTTCAAAAGTCGGAACTTATGATTTAAACAGAGGACATATAAAGATCACAACAGCACAGAGCAAACTCTTTCATACAGATATATCTGCAGGTTCAAAGAGACCTAAAGACCATGAGTTATGTTTACAATATATACTGTACTATATATGCAATGGCCTTTGTAGGAAGTCAGACAAGGTCAGTGTCCTAAGACTCTACAGCCATGTTAGTGGCTCTCTGTGGCTGTACTCGGGTTAGCATGCAAAAATGTGCTAATTAGCACTAAACACAAAGTACAGCTGAGGCTGTTTTGCAGGCAATTGGTCCTTAACCAAAGTAAAGAACAAAGTGAGATTTTCACCAAAGTTAGCACCTCAGACAGCAAGGACATACTGCAATAAGACATGGAGAATGAAACGGATAAAGAAAAGATAAAAAGAAAGAAACACACAGTAAAGTAAGCAGCAAAATAGAGTTCAGTAAGTATGACAGAGGTAGTGACTTATTATTTTCAGTTTATTGTTTTCTAGCACTCTCAAGCAGGTCTAGTGACAGGTCACATGTTGCTTCGGCTCCTATGGAAAATTCCACTGCAGCTCTTTCCTGCTGTCTCCTCGTCTAAACATAAACACAAGAGTCTCCGACAGGCTGCCTTTCCTCTCACCCTGCTGTGGTCACCCGTCCGACAACAACTTTTTTTTTTTACGAAAGGGGTCCACAACACAACACAGCCGACAAACTGGTTGCTAGCTCCTTAATCATTACATTTCTATAAAACAAGAGTCATCACGTCTCTATGTGTGCTGTATTGCCCATTTGTTTCTGCAGACGCATTCAGCACTCAACAAACCAATAAAAGACATTAGAGTCAGAGAGCTGGGAGATCCCATGGCTATCAGATTACTGAGAAACAAATGCAGTTTAGATTAACTTCAAATTGAGTAGACACCAGCAGATACACCTGACCACCACATAACCCTAAATGACTAATAAAGACAGCAGCGACTTTACGTATTTACAGTTTAAGAGCTGTTGAGAATCTTACAGTGGAGAAAATAACATGACAACTGGAGCATACACTGTTTTTATATTTGATTTCACTCTGTTTTTGCATGAATAATGTGACAGAAACTAGCTAAGACAGTTGTTGGCTAAGGCTAATTTCAAGATGGGTATTTACCCAAACCAGACTCAAAGTTATTTTCACATCACTATCCTTACAGTATTATAAAGCGATGTGTTTTTGACTCTGATAACCCTTCAAACTGTATGACTCAGCTCTGCCTTCCTGTATTCCTCTGTCTTACACCAGAATCAACACGACCCACCCACCAAACGCCCAGTAAGGGTGCTGTGTCATCATTTTGACACGATGTGAAATTGGCAGATTCAGGTAGTAACTTGTACTCTGGTTAATACCCAAATACCTTTAGCCCACTGTGTCAGCTACTTTCTGGAAAATGTCACATTATTCACTCAAAAACTAAATAATATGTTCTTGTTAATGAAGAAGCAGAATTACTGTATTACTGCATAGAGTTATTCTGTGTGCAGCTGACAGCACACTGCCACTGTCTATACAGTACGTCTATAGGCTCCCCAGAGGTCAAAACCATAAGCACGTCTATATGAAGTGTGTGTAGTGTGTTCTACTCGTTTGTGACCCTGTAAGCTGACACTTGTGTGTCCAGATTCAGAATAGACGCTGCCAGCTGTTACTAAAGCTGCAGGGATGTCACCATGAACCAGGTCAAGAGCGCCCTTTAAAAAACACCCACTTACACATAACAGAGGGGCATCGGCACAACTATGACCCCAGCACAGTTGGACGCAAAGCACCTGTAACCAGCTCGTACTGGCTTTCACAGCACACACACACACACACACACACACACTCTGCCGGTGAGGACATGGAAAATGGAGAGTAATGCCTGAGGGCTGCAGTATCCTAAACGTGACCTTGGAGCTGAAAGCAACTGCAGGTAGACACTGACCTCTAGAATAAACTTTAGAAGAAAAAGCTGCAGCATGGGGTTAAAGAATGTCCTCCATTTGGTTTTATTTGTCTCTATTTTGCATAAACAGGAGATTACGTTTTTCATAACAATTACAATGACCTTAAAAAAGGAATAAGCATGAAAAAAAAGGAGGAATGAATGGGTAGCGCTCTACTCTACAGGATATTTATATCACAGTGACAGATTTGTTTCTGTTGCCAAGGGCAATAAAGGACAATGGTATGAATAGCATATTTGCCTTTCCATTCTTATGCTGAGAAGTGCCACTTTGTTGAAGACCTAGCCTCCGGCAGGGTTTATGTAATGGGTGTGTTGCCACCTGACATGTTGCACCTGATGCACATGAGTACATGAGAATGCAGACAGAAGCTACAGGTGGCCTTTGCTTTTATCTTGCTATCAGCAGTAAAACGTGTATCTATAACAGCTTAGATTCCCACAGGAGGAAAATCTGCCTGGTATCCATGAACTAAACCATCCCTTTATGCTCTCATTTACTGTTAGAGACATACTTCAACTATTAAAACCCAAAAAGGACAAACAATCAGTTAGCAGCACCTGCCAACCAATGCAAACAACAATACAAGAGCCATATGTTATTGGCCCTTTGTCACAGTGTAGTTTGCAAAATTACAGCTTAAGATCAGTGGAGAGATCCTGCATTACTACGCGTGTTCAAACCTCTTGGTCACACTTCATTGCAACAACTTTGTGTTGCTTTCTGCTGCAAGTTTGATCCTTTCAAAGAAAAGAAAATCTCAGTTTTCATGCCTTGTCTAAACTGTAATCAAATCACTTTACTGGCCACTTGTAAACAAACTGTTAAATTATATTCGCATTAGATGCTTTCTGTAAATGATTCAATTAAATATGCCACCGTGTGTGTACAGTGTCTTACCTGGACTGGCACAGCGTCCGAGAGCTTGATGGGTCCTGAAAAAGCGAAGGCACGAGGATTTGATGGAACCGCCGCTCTGCAGCTTCACACAGGAAACCCCGCTGAACAGAGGGGCCGAGCAGCTAGCCGCCACGACACGCAGGAGGCTCGCCATGGTGCACACACACCCGACACTCACACACCAGGAGGAGCTCAACAGGACAGACAGCACCCCTCCTGGGGAAGAGACGAGTGAGAGCACCAACAGAACAGAGAGGGGAGGGGGTTATGGGCAAAGAAGATTAACAGGAGGTTGAAAGTATGTGAAAGTGAGGGGGAAAGCAAGAGTGTCGATATTTCTAAACACCATTATCAGCTTTCAATTCAATTGTGTCACATACAAATCTTTTCATTCATAAAATTATGGATAACCACAGTGACTTCTTTCAATAGCAGCCCACTGACTGAGTCTGAGGCAGTAAACAGCCTGAGGGACAGCATGTTTACTTTAAAGGGAGATAATGGAACTGGGATAGACTGGGATGGTTTGGCTAGTGTAGTAGAGTTTAAACTAGAACTGACTGGCAATAAACTCTGTGTGTGCAGAGTAAAGAAACAAATCCAAGAAGAGGAGTCAAACACTAGTCAAAAATGTATTAAAATAAATGTGTCGATTGGTAAATCAATAATAATTTTGATAAACCATTAATCACTTAGGTTCTGTATCAAGTAAAATGACTGACATTTAAAGACTAAATAATTCATTGACTAATTGTAAAAATATTAATTCAAATTTAATTAATATTTTAAATTAAATTAATTAAATTAATAATTGTTAGGTGAAGCCCTAGAAGTTATTTACCAGTACACAAATTAGCACAAAAACAAACAAAAACAGGCATAGGGTCATTGTGAAAAACTGACCCATTTTGTAGACTTGAACATAGTTGAGTCAAAGAATCAATAGATCATTGCATCCAATCAATGTCACACAATCAAAGCATACAGTAGGGTCTGGTCTGTAAGCATTTAGAAAGTAGGTTGGTAATTATGTGATGTCAATTGTTTTGTTGTTGTTGCTTTGTCATCAATAATTTAGCCAGGAAAATTTGTTAAAAAGTCCAATGTCACATCATCTTCACAGGTTTTCTTTCTATCTCTCTCAGAAATGGTCACTTTTTTTTTTCAAAACCAAAACATATTCAACTTATTATCACAGGAATAAAAAAAATCAGTGCTTTTTTAAATTTGAGAAACTAAAAACAAAGAATGCATTTTTGCTGCATAAATAATATGAATTAACAAAATGCTATTTTATCATTTTTCTGTTGACAATTAACTGAAAAGTTACCACAAGATAACAGAAGACAAAAGACAGTAGAGACCAGACAGTGTGATGTGTTCAGAGCTCTTATTTCAGGTCAGAAAAAAACTGACACTACCACGTCACCAAAAACTGTTGCAGCCCTAAAATATGAATCACACAGATTAAAATCATTTTACCACCTTTGCAACGTTAGCTCATAAAAAAACCTATCGTGACAATGAACAGGGCATTAAATTGCAACCGTGTGTTGCTTTGTCCCGAGTGTGCCTGAACGGCTCTCATAAACCTTTGCCTATCTGCATCTCTAACGTTTATGTCGCCAATAAAACAATCTTTCAATCAATGGCGTCCAATCGACAACATTATCTCACAGCTGTGATAAATGAAAGCGTACACAACTGAGGGGTTAAATGTGTTGTTTTTCTTAATACAAGACTCAATGTCGCTTCTGTACGAGTCAGACATCAACAAGATTAAAAACGGAGGCGGGGGCAGCACTTCTCTCTTTTTGTCTCCGCTCGCTGCAAAACAAAATCTATCGGGTCGTTGGAAGCTAACGCCAGCTAGCAGCGCGCTTAGCAGGCGGGCGAATACACATCTGAATGCATGAATGCGACGTATGACTCAAAAAGCACCCACACACACGCACAGAAAAGGCAAACCGAAACAAATGCATGTTGAAAAGTGAGAGTAGAAGAGGTTGGGGGAGCCACGTAACTCCACTGACCTTTGCAAATAGTCCCGGCTGTGTGCAGCACAGGCTGGCTAACTGTCTGAACCCGGAAGGTGTTTGGGAGACGCGGCCGGCATTGGAACATTATTGGATCATATGATTCATCATCAGAGGATATCCGATGACTTTTGATGTGCTGTCATTACAAACGCCATTCATATTGTTTATATAAGTTATCTGTTTTCTTAGTAACAGTCACCTCTGCGTTTTTATTTTAAATTAGATTATGTATTATGATTTATGAGTTCAATTAGGATTTAGGAGTTAAAGGCTTAACTTTTTAGGCACAAGTTATGTTTCAAGTTGTTTGTTGGATTAGTATGCACGAGTGCATTTCTAGATAAACAAAACACAACTGGATACAAATATATATGCAATGATAAATAAATTCATCAATGAGCACATTTACGTGTCTACTACTATATCAGAAATGGCGTCCCAAAACTGAAACTACTGAAGCTGCAACTCTGTGTACTTCCACTGAGGGGCGCTCTTTTACCATTTTATATCCACCGTTGCACTAAAATGATTTCAAATCAAGCATGTTTCAACCCAGTTTAATATATATATTTGAGTGATATTTTGTTTTGGTAACAAGGCCATTACTCTAATCACTGGGGGTTTGATGTGTTCAAGTTCACTATTTTATTTTATTACATCCTATTAATACTGATAGTGATCATTATTTCCTGTGTGATTATGAATTGGACATTCATTTTAAAACAGGTGTCATTTGGGTATACAATGGTGTGTTCATTTCCATGATGTGATTCATATTTTTCACCCTAAATACTAAATATACTACTATATATGTAATATTCAAGATTTTCACACTGCATCCACATGGCCCTCACTCACTCTGCAGCGATCCAGTGTTTTCAGATATTGTAACTCATTTAATCGAAAGTAACATCGCAATAAACAGATGTGGGCTAACAAGGTATCTTAAATAATAATATTAGTAGGCCTATTTGTCATGAGAAATGCAAAAAATATGATCTACAGAATCAAACTGTTTACAAACACATAGAAAGGATTCTCATCTAGCAACCTTCTGGTACACATGTGGCACAATACTCACATTTCTTCACTAAGGGGTGCTTTTTTAACTATTTTAAATTGTATCGTGTATTCATTTTCTTCCATTTTTGTTTTATTTTTAATTTAATTTCTCCTGTATCTGATAAATTGGTTACAGTAATTATTATTAAAGTAGATTATCATTAAAGTTTTAAGGTTTTGGACAGCATATTTCTGGATGTTTCATAACTCCCATGAGTCAAAGCACCAGTGAAGTATAATGTCACTGACATGGAGTCCATTCTCTCCCACACCATTACACTATGATGTGTTTGCTGAAGTGTCAGTGACAGCACATGCATGTTGCCTCGTTCGTCCGGTGCTGATGTGCTATTAATGTTGTGCTTTGTGAGGAACAAATTGCATCAGTGTTTCTGTGCTTGTAGACACACATGGTTCTACCTCCTTGTAAATCTTCCTTAATAAACCTCATTTATCCTCTCTGCTCCGTACCTTCATTTACTGACAGTATGTACTGTATATATCTATATATATTTATATATATTTATATATCTATATATATATATATATATATATATATATACTCTCTCTCTCACGCATATACTGCTCATCTGGTTCTCTTTATCTGGCTCAAAGAGTGGAATGCATTGTTGCTACGCCTGGTTTTCATTTCAGCGTTTCACCCTAAAACAGCTCTTCTAATTGACTTTCCTTGCATGTCTTTCTTAGGTATGCTCTCTTTCTTTATTTCTTATTCTTCCTCAGTGGCATTAAAACTATAAATTCTACAGAGACATTTCTAGGTCAGGAAGCAGGTGGAAGAAGCCTTCTGATCGTAACGCCCCTTAACATGAACAGTGTTTAGTAGATGTACTTGTCTATAAGGTATCATTGGTTGAATATCCATTTTTTATTATAATAACTGTCTCCTCTTCCTCTTTCAGGCCATGCATGTTAAGGATATAATGAAGACCCTTTACAATTGTCTTTTTTATGTACATCAAAGGCCATCAAAATTTGGATTTATAGTGACTCACGCTGGGCTTAAATAAAAAAAGGAGTAAACAATAGGCTCATGAATCAATCCCATTCCCATATGAATTTGATTTTGCAGACCTATGAAGCCCTGTGTCTTGAACAAGTAACAGAATTAGTAAGTGGGCAGTATTGGGAGGGATGAATATCTTTTTACTGGCAGAAAGTCTTCAGGGTTTACTTGCCTGTGGGCACATTTGCCTCCGCTTTACAACTTTGAACTGGTGTGAACTTTTCTAGATTGCAGCGTCTGTTATCCTGTCCGGGTTATTTATGGTTGTTGCCACTTCCCTTCATTTTAAAGCTTTAACTCCTGTTGAACAAATGGTTTTGAGCTGAACTGCTCTACCTCTAACCTCCCACTTTCATTCCCTTATTCTGTCAACACTCAATTTCTTTTTACCCGCTTTTCTTAGTTTTTTTCCCCCAACATGTGTGAGGCAGCCTGCAACAGTTTGTGATTAATATCACTCGACTCAGTGCTAGTCTCAGATGAATAGTGACATGTTAAAATGTAAAACTGTCAAATACAATCATTCTTCACCCGGTGTAATAAAGCAAGTAATTGGATATTTTGCGGAACATCACGAGGATATTGTCTCTTCACTTGAGTCATTCTGCAGGGAGGTCAGAGGTCAGGATCAGCTTCACAGCAGCACCCCTGAGGCAGGTAGGGATTTAGTCTCTTGATCAAAGACACGCGGGTGGTTGCCCTCACACCGCCCCCTGATCCTACAAATGTTATGCAACAGTGTGTGTGTTTTTGCATATGT